AATGCAATGGGACGGATCCTGATTTTAAAATTGGAGGAGAAGAGTTTTGAGTCAATTTGGAGTAGGGGTGTTCAGGGGAGTCGATGAAGCCAACCACTATGGGTCTTAGGTGGATACTTCAAAATATTTTCAATGACCCCACCCGAGTATATATGTTTTATTATTATTATTATATATATATTATATATATATTACTTATAATATAATATTATATATATATATATAATAATTTAATAATTCTTATTTTTAAAAACTCAATCTCATCCCTGCATTTTTATTACATATATATAAAAAATTAATAATTCTTATTTTTAAAAATTTAAAAACTCAATGCATTTCGAATTTGTCTTTAAATTAAGATTTTGATTTTTTTATATTTTTTTCTATGTTATAAATAAAATAAAAGTAAATTAATAATTAAAAAATACCGGCAATCCGATCCAACCCGAATTTTTTGAGTTGAGTTGGGTTCTACATAGGATCCAAAAATTCGGGTTGGTCTCAAAAAACCCCTTAATCCGACCTGACCTGAACACTGGAGATAATTTTTTAATCTTTGTTATAATACCCTATATTTAATAAGAAATATAACTTTTCTCAAAAAAAAAAAAAAAGAAAAAAGAAAATATAACTTTTATGGTAGGCCTTTGGAGCTCGTCTTTTTCGGGCCATGGAGGAATCTTTAATTAAAGGTAAATAATTGCTATTGCATTGGCATGTAATATAAGTTATTTGACTTCCGTATGATAATTAATGAGGAACAATTTACAAGATTAAAGATTTGGTCATAACATTTATTTACCATAAATGATGCTAAGTTTGGAATCTTCAATAATAAAAACAATTGAGCTCTGCTGGTTATCAAAAGGTCGTGAGATCATCATATTAAAGGAAAATAAAAAAGAGCACAACGACTTTGAAACTTTTCCACAACCAAATATTTGTTAGAAATTTAATATTTTGAGGTTCAAATGTTCATCTACCACCATAGATTCTCATTTTAGATGGGGTTTATTATTTATTTTGGGCCTGCCATAATTTAAGCCCAAATATGGGTAGATTTCTACTTTTATTATTTAACCTCTATTTTTAGCCCCTCTTCTTTCTAATCTCTGAACCAAGGTCTACGGGCAACCAATCTATGAGTCGGTCGGGCTAGGCCAAACCAACCAAAGCTTCAAAGGGAATGATTATAGGAAGAGTCAATGGGGCAACCAAAGCTTGGTTTAATTTAGGGTTTTGAATTGAAGTCAATTGGAAATTAAATTTTTGGTTGGCGCGTTATCGTGGGTCTTGGTGTCGCCCTTTTGAAGCTTCAAAGTCTAAGCTTTGAACCACCACAGCCAAAAAAGTCTCCCACGTGTACACGTGTTAATTAATTCCTCACCTCCACATTAAAAAATAAAAATAAAATAATTATCCCCATTTCGTACGCACAGAAACCGCGTCTCCAGCCAAGCTTCATTTAATGTTATTTTTCATCTTCTTTTATTTCTTCCTGCTGTGATCTGTCTCGTCCAATGCCTAAGCTCATTCCATGAATCCTCTACATTAAACATCTTTTCTCTTTCTCCCCCCTAATAATTAAGAATCTAAGCTAAGATCCTGTTAATTTAATGAGAATAAGAACTGATTTGAAATTTTTAAAAATATATATATATATATATATTTGCAAAGAATTCATTTTTAATGATACGCTATACTTGGCTAGTTATAACCGATTTTACCATTAACTTTCAATGTCATCCCATTAGATCTTACACGGTTACAATTTTTACCTTTCCAATCAATTTTTACTAATTTCAACAAATACGCAATTTAAAAAAAAAGAACTTAATATTAAATAACTTTTGAAAACTGAAAAACTTCAACAAAAAATTAGCTCTCTACTGTCGTTTTTTTTTTCTAAAATTCTATTCATTTCATACCTAGCATATGCTTCAAATGAACATTAATCATAATGTAAAAATTACTAATTTTTTTAAAAATTTTGAGGTAAAGATTGCCCAATAACTAAATTTAAGGTTTGTGATTATCCATTCTCTTAAAAAAAAAAAAATTATTTTGAAGTCCACGAATCTAAATGGATTCCTGTGCTTGGTCTTTTTTTTTAGCAACAATTACTCCATTGTCCCTTCTTCTTGGGTTCATCCACAAGTCACCTAAATATTTTGGCTTCATGGGGTTTGAGAATTTCTTCTTAAAAGACCAAAAATATAAAATAAATCAAATAAATTTTTGAACAAGTCAACTAAAACCACCCTATAATGAAAGGAAAATTGAACTGGTAATGCCTCCAAACCAATAAAGATAACATATATTATATTAATATAAATTTAGTCATAAACTTTCTAACATTTTTTATCTTTAAAAGGTAAAAGTTTTTAAGTATATTTTATTGTTGTACTATGTTTTTCTTTATTTACAACCACTAGATATTATATTTAAATTTTGTTTTGGTTACCCTACTTTTAACTTTTACCTATTTTGATTAGTGTATTTCAAAAACATCATTTTGTTATTTGTGTTTTCAGCTTTTATCTATTTTATATTATATTTTTCAAATGTTAATTTTAATCTCATACTTTTCAAAAGAGGTCATTTTTGTAATTTCATTTTTATAATTTTTTTGCAAATCATAAAGTAAACCCATGTTTTAAAATGTATAATTTTTATGTCAATATTTTATATACATCGATCAAAGTGGTCATTTAAAAAATATATATATATATATATATATATATATATATATATAAACAAACAAAAATAGACATTGTGAAAGTTCATGAACTAAAATAGACAAAAACTAAAACTACAATATCAAAATAGACATTGTTCAAATGCAAACTATAGCGGTCCCCCAAGAGATAGTTTGGGTAGCTTATAGACTCAAGGAACATCTTTAAAGTCTTGAGTTCAAGTTAGATAGAACGGACTCTACAAAGCAATGACCAAAGTAATAATTTAAATCATTATACTCTCAAATTTGTAACGCTTTAAATTTGAAACTCTAGTATGTAACAATTTAGTATCTACTATAAAAATTCTTATCAAAATCAAACATCAATTTTTATCTCATAACAATTTAGTATCTGCAATTATAAACACGTTTGGTCTCTCGTTAGTTTAATCGATCTACATATATAAAAAACTTAACAACAATTTTCACGACATAGACTAAATTGTTACAAACCTTAAACTACTCCAATCAAATTATTTCATAAAGTTCAAGACTAAATTGTTACGAATTAAAAAATATAACTATTGAATCGTTATAAAGTAAAGTTGAAGAACTATATCGTTATTTCAAAGTAAGTACAGAGAGTAAAATCGTTTTTTAACGGGGTAAAAAATGGAGTGGGTGTGGTGAGAGTGTGGATGAAGCAAGGGGAAGAGCAGTGCAGCGTGGTTGGTGGGGTTGAAGGATTCGGGTGAACACATCTTCCCATGCAATTGCACACCTCTTCCTTTTTTCAACGCTTCCTTTGCCTTTGTCCCCTCTCCTTCAACCCTCACAGCTGTCATTTTTCTCCTCTTATTATCTTATTATTCCTAATTCATCCCTCTACCGTTAAACTCATTCATTAATATACTCCTAAAATCTCTCCTCTTTCTTACCCCCAAAATTATTATTAACTTCAATAGTAATATAATATGCTAGTTTCAATACTCGTTTAGTCAATGTATTTTTTTATTTTAGTTCATTTTAATTCGAGTCGATATTTTTAAAATGTATATTTTTATTCATGTACTTTTAAAAAGGGTATGTTTGGATGTCTATTTGTAAAATTTTAACATAAATTTTGAACCCAATGAAAGCTCTTTAAAATAATTTTATGCGAGTATATTTTCAAGAGAATTTAGCGAGGGAAGTGTTGTACTAAAATTTTGATTGAAATAAACGAGACAAAATGAAAATGAAGAGACCAAAATGATCACTTCTTAAAAGTACAGGTTTAAAATGAACGTTTCCAAAGTACAATGACTAAACGTACAACTGTTGAAAGTATATAAACCAAAATGGATATTTTGAAATCATGAATCAAAGTCGGAAGTATATTGACCAAAATAGTATTTAAACTTAATGTCGTCCTTCACTTTTTATTTAACAAACAAGTAGAGTTGATTTTGCAGCTCATTAATGTTAATACTTTTGAAATAGTGAAAACTTTTTTACTTTTTTTTTAATTAGAATTTTGCTAAGATTGAGAGCCCGTGTGCTGATATTCACGTTTCTTGTTTCTGTTTCCTAATTTTTAATAAAGAAAAATAGAATTTCATAGCCCCCAATATCCATAGCTTCAAGAATAATAAAACAATATTTTTATATACGTTTTGGAATAAATTGGAAATGTGGAAACAAGAAACTTGTTTTTATTATTTCTAGAATCCCTATATAATTTTGAGAATATTTCTAATAAAACGAGAAACAAAAACCTAAACTGTTGTAAAATGGTTAGGTTTACTGATGAAAATGGAAATGAGAACAATAAACGAAAATGTTACCAGCTGTGTCTTTAGTTACTTATAATTTTGAAAGTTATAAAAATACTTAAAAGCAAATACTTTAGTAAGCGTTCTAATTTTATTACCCCTCGAATATAACTTAGCCCAACACATGTCGTGAATATAGCTTGACTGATTAAAATATTAATTTATTTTAAAGGTTAACTATTCTAATTCTCCCCCCTTATATTTGAGTGGTAATACAAAATAGTATTTTCATATATCTTCCAAACTAAGTATAAAGGTAAAAATAATAAAAAAAATTTCATAATATATATTAGAAATTGCTAGAAAATGTTAAAATTAAATTTGGTGGTGTGGTGATACGTATTATTTTAAGTCTTTAACGAGCAATTGGAATTTCTTTGAGATTATTTTTTGGTCCTTTTTGCAAAGGTGGTGAGGATTCTTCTCCTAAATTTGACTATTAGTAAACTTTTAATTTTATATTGGAATGTTTTCTTTAAAAA